CATATTTTAATAGTATACAAGTTTTAACTTCTTTATTCTACAAGGCAATATTTTTAAAATCCTGAATTTCCATTAATGTTACCCACGTAAAACATTTTCTCTCAGCATGTCATCATCCTATTTTATCCACCACCCTTCCAAAAAAATTACTCTATAAAATTGTTATTGCTCAGACAATCCATAATTTTTATAGCCTTCAATTTTCTTTGGTTATAGAACTATTGAATAGAAAATCAGACCCCTCCTGCCACACCTACCTGTTACATCCTCTCTTTCAGAATTCATTGATAGTTCTCTCTTATGTTTCATTATATATTACCTATAACCAATAGAAAGTCAAGGTTTTCATCTATCAAATGACGTATAAATTGTATAATGTTGTGTTCTGAACACAGAATAGTCAATTTCACTAAGAGTAGCAACATCATTCCTGTGGGAAAGTTAAAGACTAGCTTGGATGAATTTGTAATGGCTCTTGTCGCATAGTTAGAAAGCCAGGAAAATTTTGAGAGGTAAGTGAATTTGTCTACTTTTTGCATGTTATTAGTCTATATTCTTTGGTGCATTACTATGTATAGTGTAAAAAATTAGGGGTAAGTCCCTTCGAAAACCTGACAGCAGTAAGTAAGTAATTGGGTAAGTACTTTATTTCTTGTTTTTCATATTTATTCTTTCTTTATTATTATAAAAGTAACTAAAATCTAAAAATACGGATCTTTTTAAGTTATTTAAGACTAGATTAGGTAAAATAAATAATAATAAAATTAAAATGTTTCATTAGGTACGCATGGGAGCAGCTCGTAGTAGCTCGTGGGTAATATAATTCGATAGTGCAAATTAAGCTGCACGTTCCCCGAGTGATTTACAACTTATTTTGGTGCAGATAGTAGTTAGACACAGTTCAAAGGGCAATAACACAATAAAATTCAATTATAAATAGATGTATACTGTTACAAACTTAGAACTACTTACGATAAACAATGTAGCTTAATGATACAATTTGAAGTCATTCTAGAAATAAATAAAGGGTAATTTAGATTTATTTTATTTTATTTTTGGTGGTTACGAGGTTGGTCAAATTGACCAAATCTGTATAGAATTAGGGTAGAGAAAATGACAGATAAAATTTAAAGTTTTACTGAAAACAAACATTTAGGAATATTTAGGAAGTTTTAGAGATTGCACAAATCAAATCTGAGATTTTTGAGATGAAGAAAAGTATTTTTTAATCTTATCATGATTTTTTGTATATGAAAGACTTGTAATGTTTACTGAAAGACTGCCAAATTTTGTTAAGATATACATATTATATTAAAAGTTAGTAGTATCAAATCTATAAAGACTGTATGTGAGTACAAAGAGGTTATGTGGTTGGTCAAATTGATCAAGCTCATGTTGAGAGAGTTAAGAGCTGTAAGAAATGGCTCACGTGTGTGGCCGAGAAATACAGAATCAAAAATTCTAGTAATCACAAAATTTTCCTGAGTCAAAGTAATGCTCAAATTATTAAATAGTCTAGTAATTTTGTTAGTAATTACTACCTCAAAAGGGAATGAAACAAAATTGTTGTGTTTTGTGTTGCTGATAGGTGAAAGGATAGAGTTAACATAATATTTTTCACTGTTTTGAAGCTTGATACAAGTCCTATCTATGATATTGGGGTTAAAACATCTAGAGTGTTATGTTCTTAAGGTAGTTCAATTCAATAAATAAGTCTTATTTGTGGGTCAAAGTTTTATAGCATGATTCACGTAGGTGAAGTAGGAGGTTATTTTCTGTGATAGGTGGTGATTAGATCTTATGTTTGGCAGCATGGCGATGGAATAGGGTTTCCCGTAAATACTGGTGGTAATTTTGGTATTTTCATTTTTTACATTCATATCTAAGGATGGAAGACAACTGTTAGCTTCTATTTCATGTGTGAAAATTATGACATTGGGTCTTAATGAATTTAAGAATTCAAAGAAAGTGAAGATATTGTCTATGTATCTTAACCAGATTTCTGGTTTCTTGATGTGTATGAATTTGTTTCCAAACAGTTCTTCTAGAATGGACATGTAGAGGAGAGGTCACTAAGTATAGGGGAAAAGGGGGATCCCATCGCTAATCTATTATTTTGTTTGTCAAACTGGCCTTTGTATGTAACTAAGTGTCATTTAAGCAATATTCTGTGAGGTTGATATGGTGTTCTGTTACAGAGTTGTCTTCTAGTTTTCCTTTAGACAGTGTAAGACTTGTTCAACAAGTATTGAGGAAAATAAAGATTTTATGTCAAAAGATATTAATATGTCTTCTTGGTTTATTTCAAAGTTTTTGATACTACTGACAAAATCTAGAGTTTTTGAGAGAATAAGGATTGATTTCAAGTAGAGGGTTTAATCTCTTAACTAAAAATTTAGCAACATTTTGTAGTAGTGAGCCTATGCTAGATACGATAGGTATGTAAGCAATGTTGTCTGTGAATTTTTGGAAGGGCATAAAAACGGGAGATAATAAAATGTAGGAATAAAGGAAATTATTTCTTTAGCAGTAAGAATAGGGCTTTTGATGTTAGAAAAAACGTTGTTGGTGGGATCACCTGTAAGTACAGTGTAAGATCCATTATTTAATAAGGTGTTGACACCTGCTATATAATGTGATATAACTACGACTATGATGCAACAACCTTTGTGAACTCTTGTTGTTAGATTTTAATTCTTTTAGGGCATTGGTTTCATTTCCATTGAGGTTAGGTTTTACTATTTTGTCCTTATATGCTGTAAGTCTAGAGTGCATGTTAATTCTCAATTTTTCAGCTTCATTGAGATTCAAATTTAAAGAGTTGATATTAGATTCTGTAGTTATAATTTTGTTACATGAAATGGAATCCAACAGTTGTCTTCCCTTTTTAGGTGTGAATGTAAAATCACATACATAAATCGTACTACACAACCTTGCAGTCTAGTCTTAAATAACTTAAAAAGATCCGTATTTCTAGATTTATTTACTTTTATAGTAATAAATAAAGAATAAATATGAAAACTAAGAAATAAAGTACTTACCCAATCTTCTTTTTTTCTTGCTGTCAGGTTTTCGAAGGGACTTACCCCTAATTTTTTATACTATAGATAGTAATGCATTAAATAATCTTTATTTAATTAAATAATGCACCAAAGAATATAGACTAACAACATGCAAAAAATAGACAAATTCACTTACCTCTCAAAATTTTCCTGGCTTTCTAACTATGCAACAAGAGCCATTACAAATTCATCCAAGCTAGTCTTTAACTTTCCCACAGGAATGATGTTGCTACTCTTAGTGAAATTGACTATTCTGTGTTCAGAACATAACATTATACAATTTATACGTCATTTGATAGATGAAAACCTTGACTTTCTATTGGTTATAGGTAATATATAATGAAACATAATATATAAAGAAACTATCAATGAATTCTGAAAGAGAGGATGTAACAGGTAGGTATGGCAAGAGGGGTCTGATTTTCTATTCAATTGCTCTATAACCAAAGAAAATTGAAGGCTATAAAAATTGTTTGTCTGAGCAATAAGGATTTTATAGAAAGTAATTTACTTTTAATTTCATATTTTTTCAAGAGGTGGTGGATAAAATAGAGATGATGACATGCTAAAAGAAAATGTGTCACATGGGTCACATTAGTGGAAATTCAGGATTTTTTTTAATATTGCCTTGTAGAATTAAAAACATAAAACTTGTATACTATTAAAATATGGATTATTAGCTAAGATTTTATACTATTCTAATTGGTATAATGTAAACAAACAGTAGTTTTATAAAATTTTGAATGTAAGACACTAAAACCTTGTGTCATGCACAGTAAAGGATACTCATGACAATAGGGTTAATAGATATAACTACTAACTAGAGAGTAATGAACAGGAAAAGGTCTAAAAATCACTACAATAGGAAGAATCAGTCTAAATTAACACAGCAACATGCCAGAAATTAAATTAAAATGAAACAGTTACTGACATTTACAAAAGTTCCTTAGATCAAGACTCATTTAAGAACCTATCATAACAATGACATACTGACCACAGTTCTTCTCAAGTAGCAGAGCCACAAACCACAGCTCACTAACAAAGTTCCACAATATGCTGAAAACAATAATGAAAATAAACCCAGCAAAAAAATTTTTTTCAATGGTGAATTTTGCTTATCAAAGATATTAATTACACCAACACTGCAAACTTTGAGAACATTATTTCAACTACATGATAAAATATTCAATAAACTTTACAAACTGTATGTCGATTATTCTGTAATATTTTGAAACAATAAATGTGCCAGCAAAATATTTTTTCTTTTTACTTTCTACCATTGTAAGTTCACTGCATCAACATTTATCCTTCAAAAAAGCTCATGATCCAGCAAGAATAATACTGGTTTAGTGACACATATTTAAATAAAAAAACAAGAAAAACTACAATCCAAGTTACATAGTATTTTGTTACAATAATAGAAACAGTAAGCTTACAGCTTATAGTGCTAAAAATCAGAATTTGATAACCACACTGGGCACAGTGCTGACAGTCTACTCTATAGCTTTGCATTTAAAAATAAACAGTAAGAGAAGTAAATGTTATATTTGTTCTGTTAGCATTTCAGAAGTGATACATTAATATATGTTTAGATTATTTAAGATCAAGAAATTTTAAAACAAAATATTTTAGGATATTTTCTCAATTAACAATTATATCCATGTATATTAACATACCGTGCAAGTGAGAATGCATCATCAAGAAGACTGGCTCGATCTCCACAGAATAGCTTCTAAGATATCAGAGAATGTAATAATAAAAAGTTAGTTTTCATCAAATAACAACAAAAACTATTTTGTAGTAACAATGTAAAATTGCTGATAATATAATACTTCTCAACGTACAAAAATGTTTATAGGCAAATCTTTCTACTGTAACATGTTTCAGTTCCTCCTCTAACTTATGTTTCTCTCAAATATCAAGACAAGTGACTTGTAAATATTCCAAGGATCCAGTCAATAAAATAACAAGTTCAAGAAAATTAATTTAATAATATAAATATTAAGATGCTCTTTAAACATAGAAATATCTGCATGATAAATGCAAAACAAAATTAATTTTAAGTGTATCTGTCAGATAGTTTAAGGTTAATAAATGCAAAAAATTTAAAGTAAAGGGCTATCTGAAACAGAATAAAAATCTTTGAATGTACCATGCACAAGGGTTGGGGGAAAAAAAAATCACTTTAAAATTTCTTAGACTGCCATGCTTGGATGAGACAAACTGAAATTAAAATGCGAGAAACTAGGTGAACTAATGAACTTTCTCAAATTGATGATAAATCCTTCTGTTTGTGTATCAGAGCTCTGTAGAATACAGAATGTATACAGTCAGGTCCAACCATTCACAAAGTAGCTTGCACTTTTTATATGGAATGAAGTTTAGCTAAGCGGAGATATTTGAACTAATATTCTGCAAATGAGTCATTGTAATACTTTTAACTGCAAAGTATAAGCAAAATAAATCTAAAAAAATTACAATGTAGCAGTATACTGGTTACTGAGTTATGTTGGTGATACTATATATGGCTCAATACTTTCTAGTCTAGCTCACTAGTCAAAACCAGACCAAAACTTAAAATGCAAATATAAACAGAAATCAAATGATTCTAAAAATTATGCAGTATAAACTTAAAGAACACAAGTAATATTTAAAAAAAAGAAGAGGATAAGTTGCTTACCTTCTAAACTGTGCATAATCAAAAGAAAAGTAAACAATAATACATAATGAATTATTAAAATGCTAACTAATAATGGATATATATCAGAGTTCATATAAAAAAAAACGTTTAGTACAGAAAAAAAGAGCTAAAAGTTAATATCTTCCTTACCTGAAAATGTATTCCCAATAGATACTCATCTATTGATTCCTATGAGATTTGCATGCTGCTACTCTTGAGCTACCTTCCACCCAAAAACACACTTAACATGAACTGTGCTTGTGCATGATGTCATCATTATGTGACCATAACTCTCCACCAATAGGAGGATGACACATCCTCTTTGCACAGTAGCTCCCCCTAAGCACTTGTGCTTGAATTAATTTTATTCTTAGAGGAGGCAAGAAGGAAGTGAACCATAAGTGGAGAGGATGGGTTGGAAGATGTGCAGAGGTATCTCTGGAAATACATTTTCAGGTAAGGAAAATGTTAGTGTCTAGGATGATACCTCATCTCCACATAGAACTGCTAAAATCTCACATTGAAATGGTGGAGCAGCCAGTGCAAACATTACACCTAAGTAAGCACCCTTCAGAAAATGCCTGAAGAGAAAGCCCATGGAATGTGACACCTGATGACAGGGGCTCAATAGGAGCACACCCATGAGTATACTTTTCACATGAAAGGAAAGGCAAAAGAGCTCAAAGTGTTGTAGGGATAGGTGGAATTTTACAACGACCAGGCGTGCCCTAGCACACAAATGGTCAGTGAGCCAAAACGTGTAGTGTAATTAAGGCGCAATTAGAGCATGTGGTGTGCGTTTCACTGGACAGACCGAGACGGGGGTGATTAAAACACCCTGCTGCAGTAGAAAGGTACACTTCCTGTTTGAGATATGACCCACACTACACAGACAGTACCACCACCCTACTTCCTACCATATTGTGCTGTACCTAATCAGTGAGGAACTCCCAAAGGCCCACTACTCCAGCATTGGCGTACTGGTAAGTAGCAAGGGGTGTCCCATGCTTCATTTGAAGAAACAGGGGGGGGGGGGAATTATCATTGGGGAGACTCTGAGAAGTGCCTGGGTCCCCATCATCAGATGGTTACCAGAAAGGCCCATTATTGGAGACAGTGCAATGGATAACTCAAACCGTATTTTTAAAAGCTAGCAAGTATAAGCAAAAGATATGGGCAGTCATTTCCCTTGTTTTGTTTTCAGTCCAGAGAAGATATGGTCAAGATTGGGCAACTGAGTAATTTCAATACCATTAGAATACCTATAGAGGTCTTATAGAACACTCTATCTCAATAGTTGGCACTAGCAGAGCCAGGGTAGATGGGTTGAGCACTTTTCATTTTCCATGACAGGTTTTAGGATATAAGCATACCCTGGGAGGTAACACCAGTTAGCTGGTAGGATCCCATAAAGGGTTACGAAAAAGAAATGTACTTGTCCTTCTCAAAGATGGTGTGTAGATTGAAGAACAGGGACTGGAAGGAATTAAGATCCAGCATGAGACTAAACAGCCAGATAATGTAAATAACTGGAAACAAATATGTTCTGATTCATCCACATACCCACCTGAAGGATCTCATGCAAGAAATGGCAAAAGTGAAATGCAAGAGAGTGAGACAAGTAACAAATTTGATTCAAGGAAATGTGAAAGAGCCTGTGAACATCAATATCCATGGAATAATAACCAACCAGAGAGGTTGGCAGACCCATCCTTTATAGGGAAAAGTAGAAAGGTCCCTGCATAAATATGGGTCCCACAGTAGAAATAAATGTGACAGGAACCCCAAAATGGAGATGTACACACCAAGTAACAAAGAAAAGCACAAACTGAACATGGTAGACAATTCGTTTTTGAACAAGTATAGTGGGGAGAAAATAGGACAGAAAGAACAGTCACGTTCCCAAGCAGCCAAAGTCTTAGGAAGAAAGAACCTGTTGGGGTAAAGAAGTAAGTAAGAATAGTAAGAGTGAGGGAAGCATCAATAGCATATACAGCTGAATTACGATGACCACAGGTGAGAAGGAAATAATGCCTTCAAAGAAAGATGGTATATAAAATATGGAACCAATGACTCAAATGAAATATGTAAGTGTGTAAACCACATTAAAGTCCCAGTCAGGTATGGGAATAGGAAGAGGAAGTCAGTGTAATAGGAAGAATCTGAACAAAGTGTAGAGGACAGGGGAAGAAAAAAATTAGGTTGTAAGGGAAAGGTGAAATGTAGTTGATAATGACACCCAATAACCAGCAATGGTGGAAACCAACAATCCATGGTCAAACAACCACGTCAAAAATGCAAAAATGCTGCCACTTCTATTGATAGACAGAAAGAGTTGAAGGACAACAGTAATGGGATAAGAAAAAGCTACGTGGTATGAGAAGCCAACCCCTACAGGTAATGGACCAAAAAAATCCCACATGTAAGGATGAAGGGATGACACTCTTGACTGAATTGAAATAAAAGTTGTGATTCCCTAGTGCAGTTTACATTAAACGTGTATTTTTAGGTGGGAGGTAATTCAAGGTTAGTGGCATACAAATCTCATATGAAGATGCATGAAGGAATCAAGCTTTTCTGTGCGTGGAGGGGAGGTATTGTCTCGGAAGTACATATTTACCTTTCCCCAACATTCAAAAACGTTTTAAGCATCATGCATTAGAACTATTATTACTAAAGAGTCACAACATCCAAAATATCAGTTTGTAGATACACATGTATCATGAAACCTTGGAACATAATAATGCAGTATTTGAATACAATTAAAAGAATAGTGAAAACAAATCAACCAAAATATGTGTAAGGGCTTGACTATTTTGATTCTTTTGAAGTGAAAAGGATACACAAATGTGTTGAAACTTGCATCCATATAAGTTTCTGGCTTTTCCATAATAGTGGGTCTAAGTTTTACTTTAGATCACCTTTTGTAACTTTTAATTTTTACACTGTTTCACAATCTTTGCTTTATGAATATTTCTCTTTAGAAAGGTTTTTCTTATTACTTGAGCTAAAAGTCTACCTGTGGTGTAGTACTACACTCTCAAATAACTAGAAATTCACCATGAACCAAGTATGTGATAAACATGTTGCCCATGGCAATATGGTTCACATTTAGATAGACATGTCACTGCATGTGTAGATACAAATATAGTAGAGTTAAACCTCATTGTTTAACATGGAAGGTATGAAATTTTCATTTGCTGGAGAAAGTTTAATCTAAAATAAAATTCATCTTAAAAAAAATAACAATTCAGTAACCAACAAGAAAAAAACCATTAAATGCATGTCAACAAAAGAATCTGAAGAAGTACAAAAATTTTTACAAATTATTAGACTTTTCCCCAAAAAATTAATTGTATCTCTAACTTCTTTACATTAACCATCCATTTATTCCAGGCACAAAGATAACAAGGGCATTTAGGGTCATATGTGGATAAAACGTGAAAAGAACTACTATTCATTCATATTTAACTAAATCATTTAAAAAGTGGATAATTATTATTAAAATGTTGTATATAGTGAAATTAGATGTGCTGTCTTGTATGAATCCAAACTGAAATTACAAATGACACAACTGATTCTTGTGTTATACATAACCTGCTGAGAATGTTCATCTAGTCAATCAGCTCTAAAGTACAGAAACTACCTTTTACATTCACACAGTGAAGATAATGAAACTATTAAAAGTTATGTTATCACCATATAAGCCAAAGTTTTGTATGGTGAGGAATCAACAAGATGATTAAGCAAATGGTTTATTCATAATCGTGATTAAATCCTAAGTTTAAGGTGCAGAAATGTGAAAAGTCAGAAAAGCCAGTATAGAGAAGAGAATTTGAAAACTTGGCTGAAGTTTTAAATTAAATTGGGAAAAAAGTGCAATTTGATAAAACCTGAAACCTGTTAAGTGTGACAACCCAAAACTTTTAAAAACAATACATTTCTTACAAATGACTTAGTTACATGCATGATTCACTACAAAAACAGCAGACTAAGAATTGCACTTATAATTCCTGTCTTTGTCATAAATTGTACTAGTGAAACATTAATATATACATAAAATATTGGGCAACAATAAATGGACATTTTCTTAGTTTTTCAACTTTATGTTCAGTTGGATAAATTGTCTGAATATGCTGAAGAATGATTTGTTTAGTTAAAAATAGTAAGAGCATCTATACATCCAATGTGTGTATGTATTGTTAGGGTATTTAGATTTACACAAATTTCATCCCTAAATATGTAGAGGGAGGTTTTCCAATCTTCTCTTAAAAATATCAACCACTGGAATACCTTTCATTATTCTAAAAGCTATTTTCAAATTTAAATTTATTTGAAAAAAATACATTCCAAAAATTTCTACTGATGTTATGTTATCTAAATATATTTGAAGAAATTAATTTGTTGAGGTAGTAACATCACTGTCAAACATGAAGTTTGTACATTAAAAGTGTATGTGGTATTTACATAAGAAATAGGAATTTTCTAAGCATTCTAATACTTGATTGCCATTTTTAATAATCTAGAATAATTTTTTTGTGGTCTGACTGGATTTGTTAAAACATCAAATGTTTCTGAAACAAAATCAGAATTTGCAGTAAACCCAAATTTCAAAAGAATTTTGTGAAACTTAAGAATTCCACAGATATATGTTACACTAAACAATCTTGTCAGAAAATAGCAATGAAAACATTTACCACGTTTTGTTCTAAAATTGAAAAATTGTGATTATTATTGGGCAATCAAGTCAGAATTGAGGCACAAGTTTTTGTTTTCTTCAAATAAACCTAATAAGCATACGAGCATACTTGCTTATTTTTTGCTAGAATCTCACCTCATGATTTTGATGTAAAAACCTCAATAAATGTTCTCCATTCATGCTCTTCATATGTCACACGAAAGAAACCAGTTTGATTAACATTCAGTTTCAGCCACTTGATATTTTCTTTAACCGAGAATGTTCCTAAGAAATAATGTAAAAAAATTATATTTTATTCATTACTTATACTAATCAGGAATATGTTAACTTCATTTTAACATTATTGTAAGTATACTTAATATAAACAAATGCAACAGCTAAATAAAGGCCTCTCTGAATGCAATAAAATTTTTCTGCAAAGTTTTGAAGAATATACAAAATTGTATTTTTTAATCATTTCTTTTTACCAATTTCCTTGTATTTGAATTTGCATATATATTGCCTAATGTTTATATATTTGCTGTTCTTTGATCAGTACAGAAGATAACGAGATAATGTGAATTTCAATATGCACTTCTAGACTTTTAGTCAAAAGCTTTGATTAAGTAAAACATGAAGATCTCTTAGAAATTTTGCAAAACCTAGATCTAGATGGGACAGATCAGAATCCTCTAATAGCAGCAAACAGCTGCAATAAGGATAAATGGTGAAATCAGTAAATATACATAAATTGAAAGAGGAGTGAGACAAGGCTGCATTTTCTCACCGGATCTATTTAATCTCTACAGCAAAAACATTCTCAGAGAAATAAACAACATCAAAGACTGCATAATAGGACAGTATAATTTGAATAATTTGATATATGCAGATGATGCAGTGTTGATTGGTAGCTCACAAAAGAATATACAAGAAGTGCTAGACATGGTGCTACGTACAGGCAAGTAGCCATAAAGGACTTTCAATTAACATTAAGAAGACAACGTATGATCATCAGCCAAAAAAATTGCTATCCCAAAATGTGAACTTTATACTGGAAATGAATTAATCAAAAAGGTAGAAAAATTCAAATTCCTAAGTAGTATTACAACACCAGATGGAAGAATTGATACAAAAATTTAAATATATATAGTTATGGCAAAAACAGCTTTTCAAAAGTTAGGGAAAATGTTTAAAAAATCAAAGCATAACCATAGCTACAAGAAAAAGAATACTGCAATGTTATGTGTATTCCATTCTTATATATAGCAGTGAGTGTTGGACCATCTTGCCTATCATTGAAAAGCAATTTGAAGCCACAGAAATATCCTGAATTATAGATGTGTTTTTAGAATTCAAGTGAAAAGACAAACGGAGTACGTGCCTACATATTTATAAACATAAATTACCAAATTTAAGAGAGTCCATGCTCTGTAGCTTGTTTGTAGAACTTGAATTTTTTTTCTCATGTGTAAATAAGTAGACAAGGACTTGAAAAGTAAACATATCTGCATTCAGTCATTAATTATATCCACCTGGAAAGTGTAATGTTGGAAAATTACCCATTTTTTGACCAAATCCCCTGGCGAAAATGGTATTATAAGGCTCTAAATTTTTGAAATAATAGCTACAAATCAGGCTTATATTGAGAAGAATTTCCAGTTTTGCTTCATAATTCCTTCTTTTTTTATATTATTAGACATAATTTAATCTTTACCTTTTTATAACAGTCAACATTTGTATTGCATGTTAAGAACCATGGATATATCAAGGTAAGAGTTATATGGTTTTTCTTTGATTCCAACAAGTGCCTAATAATTCAAGATTAATCAATTACGTGTATCAGCTGATCTGAAGTTGAACATTCAGTTGTTTTGGAAGAAATCACTGCTAATACCTATGATCAAGTTTAATACCCTTAGGAACTTGAACATTTGTTGTGGAAAATCCCTGAACCACCATCAACTACAAGCAGTGAGAGACAATACTAAATTGGGTCACAAAGTTTACTAGTCACTGAAGTATCATAAAGAAATTTTGTGGAAAAAACATTTCATCTGAATAAAGTAGGAAAATGATAGTTTAGAATTTCTTCATGGGTTTAATTTCTCACCACAAAGGCAGCTAAGGTTCATACTCTCAGAGTCTATAACTAGCAATTTACTAATCCATCAAACAAAGACAAACTAATACCAGAGTGACAAAATATGAAAACTAATGAATTGGAAATATTCACATCTTTGGACTAATATTAGGATAATGAATTATAGATCAAAAACTGAAAATCTACCACAGTTAAACTGGTTTACAGCTACTATTCTATAAAAGATTCAACTGATATTAAAGGATAAAATGGGCTAAATTAAGAGTAGATAGTTATTCTGAAAACGTGTTAGAGAAATAAAATTCTTAAGTTTTTAGTCTTTGCAAGACATTTCCTATGTCTCAATCTTAAGAAAGAAAGAAAGGCACTAGAGTTCCAAATTAGACACTAAAAGTACACAGACACAAAGATAAAAATTACTATTTATATAAACCTGTTTCAACATAATGACTTATGATGACAAAATTAACCTACCAGTGGTTGTATTCAACATGAACCTTTGCACCTCTGTATCCCTATCGGTTATGTATGTTATTGGAATATTCCACTCATAACCATAAGGTGAAATGTCTTCTTCAGAAACTGCATCACTTTTTGAAGGAGCAAGAAGGAAACGCTGTTGATTTACATAAACCATATTTCCCACACGAGAAACCAATATAACAGGAAATCCTTCCTGAATTGTCCATGTGTCCATAATAGAGCTGATGTTTGTCTGCAAACCATCATTTATTACCTACAAACAAAATGCATGTGCAAAACATTTACATATATTTGTGGCAATGTAAACTACAAATATAAAATCATAAATGTTCTAATGAAAATTTCAGTGGACTTTATAATGCTTTTTAACATTCAAATTATTGATTTGTAGAGCTGGTTGATTAGTGGTATTTGTTAAATGATTAACTGACAGCCCCATTAATTAATCGTATTCAATTAATTGATTATTAGATTGTTCCTTGAACCAAGGTACGATAAGCAAAATAATTGGCAGCAGGTGCTGCCAGCTAGTTGCCTTCCCTCTAGTAAGGAGTACGAAAAGAAAAAAAAAGTTGGTGGAAGGTTCTGTAAGATAGTTGCCTTCCCTAAAGACAGTGGTTTGAAAAAAAAAGAAAAATGTTTGTTCTGGGTACTGCCAGCTAGTTGCCTTTCTTCTGGTCAGTAGTTTAAAATTAGTGACAGTGGCAGATAGCCTTTGTAGTTTTGCATAACAAAAACAGGTCAAGTAAGTTTGGTGGCAATAGGTAATATGAATCAAACCCAAGTTCCTCGAAACACAAAAGGGGTTCATATGGACCCTAATAGTACAATTGATTAGAAAGGAGCAAAACCAAGTAACTTGCACAGTATACAACTGTTTTAAGAAACAATGCATATACATGTAAGTATTCAACATAAATTTGGTTCAGTTGTAAAGATTAGTTCAGGACAATAGTTGAAAAGAAAGATTATGATATAATGGGAATTTGTGAAGCTTGGTTAGATTTGGAGAACACTGTAAATAGGGTTTATTTTGAAATTCTAGATTTAAGCTGTTTAACAGTGATTGACAATTAAAAGTAGCAGATGGGGTCTCTTCTTGTATAAGTACAACTTGTTGGGACTGAAGACAAAAAGTGGCAGTCAAGAGGTATAGCATATGGGTTATAATCAGGGGTTTTAAAGGTGAAAATTTTTAACTGGCAATTGTATAAGGTGCTGCTGTTAGGCTGCCTTCTTTGTAGTTAGAAGTTCAAAATTAGGGATGGTGGCAGATCGCCTTTAGTAGTACCATAAATGCAAAAATACAAATACAAGCAAATTATGTCAATGAGAAGTTGTACAATGATATCATGGTTGTTACCAATAAAAAATACTGATGCAACAATTATGGGAGACTTTAATTTTAGACACAATGATTGACACCGTATGGAGCTAAATAGTGAGAGATAACCATTTCTTGAATTGATTCAAGATGGTTCTCTATACCAAATAATCAGGGAGCCAACCAGAATTCGCAGGCTATAAAAGAAGAACATCAATCATGGGGAGGAAGGGTGGGAAGTGTGTGAAATTATGTACCTATCTGAAATACATTTTCAGTGTAAGAAAAACTTTTAACTTCCGATATGGTTTTACCTCCTCTCACACAAAGCTAGAATCCTACATTGCAAAGGTGTAGGGGCCATTATAAGTGCACAATACAAAGTGATCACCCAGAATGAAAGGGTATGCTCATGAATGAAAATGAAGCACACTTGTGGGGCTCTGCACTACTTCTGGAACAGGTATGCTCTTAGCCCAGGAAGTAGGAAATTAATCTGAAATGAGTGGAAAAAGAAATTACTTGGACAAACATAATATGTTCTGAGAGGTGCAAGCTGTAGCAACATATAAATAGAATTAGTTATGTACATTCCAGACCTAAACTGGACAAACAAGGTTCCATAACTCGTTCTCAACATTAGGAGGTTGAGGATGAAAAAAAATTGTAACATCAACGGTGTGGCTAGGGCATGTGGACTGTGTTATACATACACATCAACTCCAACTGTAAGTAAACAGAGTGCCATACATCAAGCAACTGGAATTATGAAGAAGAAGTAAGCTTTCTGTCAAAGTTGGACAAATTCCCAAAACAACTGTAGGGGCAAGAAGTACAACAAACCGAACCTGGCATTACAGGATCATGGCATTGCCTGAACTCAAAAGTAAGAACAGGGTAATAGCTGTAATTGGTATTGTGGGCAAAATCATAACTCACTCAAACATAAATGCAGGAAAAACAACCTGCATGCAGAATTACGAGGAGGAGATGGAACATTTGCCCAGCCATAGGAACAGAGTGCGTACATCCTGTTGCCTGTATTACGAGGCAAAGTCTCCCAAACGCAACCATAGGAGCAGAGAAAGAACCTCCTGAAAAGAGAGGCATCTACTGCACACAACCTTAAAAACAGGCACTGCCATTCCAAACCCAGCATTATAAGGAGAATCCTGTGTAGGCTGGACCCACTCTGACCAAAATGTCTCCACTTGGGAAAAAGCATCCTGGGGAGAAAGAAGAAGGGAAACTAGCATTGCCCTCTTTTCACTGAGTGTATAATAATAAGCAGGTATTGCAAAAAAAATTGAAACTCACTCAGGAGGAAGCCTTCATGGCCCATCACCCCAGCAACTGTGTAGTGGTAAGGACTCCCATGCTACACTGGAAGAGGGGGGATGCAATAGGGAGTCTGGAGGAATGTCACACCAGAGAAAGTGCAAAGGGTGTCTGCGATTCCCTAATTTGAAAAGCAGACAAATCCCAATTTATTCAATCAAAGGGTTGGCAGGGATGGGCAGAAATCCTCTTCTGCTTTACTTAGGAAGTCCATGAGTGACAGTCCACATAAATGGAAAATTATTGATATCTAGTACTTAATATATATATATATATATATATATATATATATATACTAC